AAGATGTTTAAAAAATGGCATGATAGATTCAATTGAGGTGTGTGATTAAAAAATGGCATGATAGATTCAATTGAGGTGTGTGATTAAAAAATGGCATGATAGATTCAATTGAGGTGTGTGAGAAGGTAAGAGGTTTAGTTGCTGAATGGGCTTTGATTAGGAAGGAGTTTTGGGGAATATATAGGATGGATTAGATGTATCAAATGAAGAGGCACTTCAGATGAGAAAGGTGGTGAATTTGATTTCTAATGCGGAGGGCACCCGATGAAGTTGTTATCAAATTAAACTTCGATGGAAGCTCCTATGGGAATCCAAGGAGAATAGGCTTAGGGGGAGTGGTATGTAATCACAATGTTGAAATTTTGAATAAATACTACAAGTTAGTTGGACAATACTACAAGGAGATGGAGAATCCTTGGTCACATGGATTATGTATTAGTGTAGAGGTGGAATTCATGCATGTATATTGCGAGAAGAATCTTATTGCAGATAAGTTAGCAAAAGATGATGCCCTGATGTAGGAATTATTAATTTGTTGATATGAGTTGTTCAACAAAAGAATAGTGAAGATGGGGCAATAAAAGGGAGATGGTGGATGTGTTTGCAGAGGTATCAGTGACGTAAATGTGTATTATACTTTGATATGACGGAATAAGATATTAAACACTTTTTGTTTTTTTTAAAAAAGATGAAATTAAGCTTTGCATGTCTACCGGCTTTTAAAATTGGGGTCTTTTCTAACACTTCATTTAAATATACTATTTGAGATGTTAATCTGTTTTCGTTACACATATGGTCTATATGTAAAACGCAATTAAACATTCGAGAAAATTATGTACGGACCTTATTTGGGGAGTCAATTACCATTTGATATATCATTTGCAAAAATTACAAGCACCACCCTTTTTAGCGCTTTTTTTTTTTTGTTTTCCTAAGTTACCCTCCTATCCGGCAATGCAAACATTATGCAAACATTGGACAAGGGGTTATTATTTGTGCATTTCCTAATCCCTCTCTCTCATTTCCTAATCCCTCTCTCTTTCTCTCTCCTCAATTATCGACCATAAAATCACTCTACAAAAATTCAAATGGTTATGTTCTCTCTAAAACCTAAGGGGTGAAATATGTGTCGCAGTGTTGGAAAAAAACAGCCAGTTCAAACCGAAACCGAGACCTTCATGGTTCCGGTTAGTCTTGGTTTTGATGTTCTACTTAGCATATCTGACACCCTCAAAAATTTCCGGCCCAAAACCGGCCAAAATCTACACAAACCGGCTATCTATGAAGCTAACCGGGCGATTTTTTGGCTAACCGGACCGAGTTTTAGAAAAAATGCCCAATAATGTTAAAAACGTCGAAATAACATCTGTTATTTAGCGGTGCGACGTTATTTGTATCAGCAATCATTATTTTTGCAAAACCCTTAGTTTTTGTTGGATCCCTTTTTTATTCGATTTTTGTTACTTTTTTTTAGCATTTTTCAGGATTTTTCAGTAAATTATTGACTGAAATTGTTGATATAATAGTATAAAATGAAGGATTTCAACCGGAAACACACCCAATTTGATTTTTTGGGCCATTATTTTCGTGTTCTTTGCGTTTTGAAAAAATTCTCCATGGTGCATATTGTGGCCTCGTTTTTGGATTTTTATCAATAAAAATCTATGGATTTGATAATAGAGTTATTCAGTATATTCTAATTCCAATTTCATTTAAAATCAAAGTTTTCGACATCAATTTAGATTGATTAGGGCATCTACTCAGTTTTTCTAAACTGATTTCAAAAAATCCGCCATACTACATATCGTGGCCTCTTTTTTGGATTTTTATCGAACAAAATCCATGAATTTTGTAGATAATAGAGTTAGTCAGTAGATTCTACTCTTAATTTCATTGAAAATTTGAGATTTGGAGCTCGATTTGGAGTGATTAGGGCAGCGACTCAGTTTTTTAGAACTGAGTTGAAAAAATCCGCCATACTCCAGATTGTTGATTCGTTTTTTGTTTTTTATCAATCAAAATCTAAGGCTTTTGTAGATCATGACGTTAATCAAAAGATTCAAGTCCTAATTTCATTGAAAATCCGAGATATGGTGCTCTATTTTGAAAGATTAGGGCATTGACTCAGTTTTTCTGAATTGAGTAGAAAAGTGCCCGCCAACCACTCGATTTTGTACTCGATTTGGTGATCAATTTTTACAGTTGAGATTGCAAGTAAGAATTTCATGTGATTTTTCATTCAGCATTTTTTTTTAATATGATTTTTGAGTTGCTCGAGTATTTTGTTTACCACTTTATTTTGCTAGAAAAATAATTATGCAAAAAAATACTTTTAAATTTGAAATAACACACTCAAAATGTAATGTTTGTATACGTGATATGTTAATTAATTTGGTTATTCTTAGAGAATTATACTTGGAAAGTATTTTTTTGTTTCACTGCGAGATATTCTTGGAGGTATAAGTGTATTTAGCTTTTATCATTTTGATCAGCATATTTGGTTTGATGGTTTTGTGTAATCTTATGTTGTTTGTATGGGTTTTAATCTAATTTTGAAAATTATAGTTTATATTGGTTTCAATGGATCTCAACAACTTAGAAACCAGTGCTTTTTAGAAACTAAATACGAGATACGAGATTAATTTTTTTAGAAACCAGTGCTCGTGTGTTTGTTATATGGATTTTTTTTTCTTTTTTCTTTTATTGATATGCTGGTTGTTTGGGTTTCATAATTAGTAGGAATGTTTTCTTCTTTAAAAATTAAAAATCATTTAGGTTTAGCTTATTGTTGGTGGATGATTATAAGGTTACTTTGTATCAGAAATGTTGTGTATTTTGGTTTTGGTTTTAGGAGATTTTCTAGAGCAGCTTAAATCGCATATTTTCAACAACTAGTTGTTTCAATTTATTGTTTTTAAGATAAATGTAGGTAATAAGATAGTATATACTTAGTTTATATTTTTTTATTTTTTTAAAAAAAAATTGAGGGGGTTTTGACCAAAAATTTTTTAAAAAATCTATCGAACCAACCCGCTCCGGTTTACCGCTCAGTTAGCGAGGTTTCGGTACTAACTACTCCCAACCCCATGTCCGATTAACCATTCGGGTTCAAATATGCGAACACGAGTTGGTGGAGCCACGAGGATACTTCAGGGTTTTTCCAATTAGTTGATTGAGCAAAAGTAATAATCTTCAAAACAAAAAAAGTATAGCCTATATTGCCACATGACCTGGCCAAAGTAATAATAATTACTTTCAATTTGTTTTAAAAAATGACAAACATCTTTACACGAAAAAACAATTGGGTCATTGAGTATCTAATAAAAAATAATGGATGAAGTTTTTATAAGGCTTAGGTGAAGTTTCTATAAGGCCTAGGCTTTATGAAAAAAATAAAGCCTCACCTCAAATCCTCATTATGGAAAGTACTTCCCGTATCGAAAATCTCCATGATAGCTCTAAAATCAAAATTTGACATCAGCAATAAAATCTAAAACTAAAAAAATGTTACAGATCTTGTGGATCTACGATCATGTATTTTTAGTGCAAAATGTATGATTTAGATGATTTTCTGCAAGATAAACTATTTTTAGCATTTGAAATCCTAATATTTTTCACAATCATAATATTTAAGCCAAAATTATCAATTTAAAAGGTTTCCCATGCTTGAATTACCATTTTTTTTATCAATTATGAGGTGATGGTTTACTTATTTGGTAGGACTGCAACCCTATCAAACCATTACATTATAAAATAAAAAAATCCTATCTAATTTGTCGATTTACATTTATTGCATTTCATAATATTTATTTTAAATTCTACAATTATATCCATACGGTAAAATTTCTTAATTGTCATTATTTGAAGAAAAAGATAATAAAATGTTTAATTATATGAAATAAAGTATTTCACGGATTTATAATTTCTTAAGTGAAAATTCTCTAAAATGAAATTCATTTTTATATAAAGAAAATATGTTGTAAGTAATTTTAATTTGCATATTGCTCCCATATTATAAGTTAAACTATGAATATTTAAAATATAAAATAGGGATTGTATATAATGAGACCATTTACTTTTAGTATAAGGAGGCACAATTACTTATAGAGTAATAATCCTATAGGACCCTCCCTCACCCATGTGTGTAGGACCCCAAAGGATCACCATTAATCGGCACGGATCTCTAAAAAATTTATCACATAGGTATGGGACTTGACTTTTCTATAAGTCCGTGTCAAATTTAATGGTGATCCTTTGGGTCCTATACACATGGGTGGGGGAGGGTCTTATAGGATCATTTCTGTTACTTATAACCATCCGATGTGAAATATGATAGCTTAGGTGTGTCACAAAGTTCAAGAAAATTTGTTTTAAACTTTAAGCTTGGTCAATAGAACAAATGCAGCCATCCAATTTCACATATAATGGTCAAAATTAATTGTGATCACTTTGTACCAAAGATCAATGGTCTCATTGTATAATTTTCCTATAAAATAAGTTCACTTTATGATCAATTTTGAAAAATCAAAACTTAAAATCTTAAATAATAAACAAAATAAATTTAAATGTATAATCGATGAATCCGGGGTGCTCAGGCATGATTGGTTGCTTCTTTTTTAATTATCATCGTTTATTTGAAAATACAAGATGTCTTTATCATTTTGAAAAAGGATTTTTACTTGCTTATCATTTCCTTAAGGGAACTTCTCTAAAATAGATATGAGTTTTATAATAAATTTCAATCTATACTACGTAAATTATATATTTTTAATTAATTTTAAGTATTTGTTTTAAAAACAATAAATTTCTTATACCAATGATTTTAAATTTAATTAATAATTGAATTTGAAGCTATAATATAAATTAATTTTTTTTACAATGGAAAATTTTCGCTATGGCTTTTAACTAGGTATCTCTAAAGCCACTTAGGATTGACATCTAAATTAATCACATAAATTAAATTGACAACACAAAATATCACCACGACAGACATATGTCAGACATCCTATAATTTTTGATGTCAAAATTACATCTTATAATAAACCACACGCTAATTAAAAACCTTTTAATTTACTTTAAAAGAATTCAAATCATGGAGCACATGGAGTCGGCTAGTAACGCATAATACAAAGCAATCGCGTATTGCTCACATCTCACCATCACAGGACGCAAAGCTAGATCGGGTCCGTCCATTCACAAATCCAAGCAAAACCCCGACCTGCCTATCGATCTCGCGGTACACATCCCACCCACCAAGCTCCAACCTACAACAAGGACACGTGCTCCTTCCTTTTAACCACATCCCTATACACTGGCGATGAAACACGTGCGAGCAAGGCAGCCTACACGCCCCCACCCCCAACTCCTCTGTGCAAATCACACACTCACCCTTCTCGCACGTGCCACTCCCCTCACAGGTGTCGTCGTCAAACGTTGGTCCCACACCACCGGCGCTAAGCAACCCCTGCATAGCTTCTAGCAAACGGCCATATCTCATCACTAGTGAAGCAAAAGAAGATGACCCCCCCACCCCAATTCCGGTCATGCTAAGAACTTTTCCGGCGATAATTCCGGCCAAAACCTGGGGCCACTCGGCTTGAGGCTTCATTTTCCTGTGGCTGGAATCTGATCCACGAAGCTCCTGCTCGTGGACCTCGCATAGCACGAGGAGCAAAGTTCCGGCATCTAAGTCAGCGATATCTGAGATGCTGAGACTGGGGCGTTGGGGCTTGCTAGTCTGGAGGAAGTGGGTGAGGGTTCTGAGGAGGTCGACAAAGATGGTAGCGATTAGTTGCGTTTTTTGGTTGAGAGAGAGGGATTCGAGGCGGCGGACTGCGCAGTTGAAGTGGTGGGAGGATTTGGCGAGGAGGTAGAGCCTGTGAAAGTGGAGATTAGATTGCAGAGAGAGAGATCGGATGAGCATGGGGGGCGGCGTGGCGCCGAGGCTTATGACGGCCGCCATGATGGCGTGATCAAGGCCGTCCATGGGGGTGGCGTTTAGTGTGTGAAGGAGGTGGAGGCGGAGGTGGAGGTGGAGGTGGAGGTAAGAGAGATTTATAGAAAGTAGGAGCTGGTGAGGGAGGGGGGAGGAAGTCTGCTTGGTGGAGAGATCATCAAAGGCGAAGGAAAGAGTGAGAGGAACAGTATGGAATGGGGTTTGGGCGGTGGGCTCTTGTCGAGTTCTTACGTGCATGGACGGTAATCCACTTCATCGTTTTCCTTTTGTCATTGGAAAAGTGCCGAGAATATCCTCAATCAATTTTCTAAATGACAACAGAAAATCCTCTACTCTACTCTACCCTAGATCATGATAATCCGTTAATTCTTAGGAATAGAGAAAGGAAAATTGTTTCATGCCTGCTGGACTGCATTTCTGCATATGCTGCCTGTTTTCTTATTAGAATTATTAGAAACTAATTGTTTAAATGTTTTCTTATTAAAATTATTTTTTTAAATTTTTAAAATTTTGTTTATTTTTCATATTCATGAGCTCTGTGTTAGAGGTTACACGTCCTTAAAGAATAAGTCTTAAAATCCATCTAAAAAATAGATTCATTAAAAGACTTATGTTTCTACATATGGGGGATTGGACACATAGAAACCAAGTCTATAGAAAATCGAGTACAATTTCTAAACACCATTAGTAAACAACCAATTGAGACCTTTCTTTCCAAATGCCAGTAAAGAATTATTATATTGATAAATTTGTATTAAAAAAATAAAGGGTTGTATACTATGAGATCATTTATCTTTGTTACAAGGAGGTCATAATTACTCCTAATCATTAGATGTCAAAGTGGATGGCGTGAAATATTTCATGAAGTTCGAGAGAAAGGATCGAGGCATTTTGCCCAATTTTTAAGCAATGAAAAGAGAGAAAGGATTGAGGCATTTTGCCCAAATTTTTTACCACTAGAGTTCCTTGGCCCTTGCCCACTTTACCTTTCTAAAACAACTAAAACCATGTGTGGTTGGGAACCGAGTTTAACTTTGGAATTACCTTTTTATCCATATTTTAAGAAATTTTACGGCAATGTTCGTCCTTTTTTTTTTTTCCCCTGTTTTACCTTTAGTTTAATGTTCTAAACATTACCTGCTTTACCTTTCTAAACATCGCATAGCTTTATTTATTTTTAATTTTTTGGCATTTGTGGGGCAATCTGATGTATAATATATCAAACTACTTAATATTTTGGGCGATCCAATGTTTGAAACGTCAAACTGCCCTATAATATAACGATTTTTTTTATAGAGCAATATGATGTTCCATACATCAAACTAACACATACTTAACTTTTTCTTTTTTTTAAGTGTATTAGTATGATGATTGAAATATTGGACTACCCCATACAAAAGTATAGATTACATCATTAGACGTTATGTTAGTTCAAAACATCATATTGCCTCACAAAAGCAAAAATATAAAATTTTTTAAAAATAGCGGTTCTATATTTAGAACATGAACCTGAGGGAAATTCCATAAGTTTAACTGAACGTGTTACCCTAAGCTTTTTATGTAGCCCTTTTTGGTGTGCATCCTTATAATAGTGTTTCCATCCTATCGACTGCGTGAGAGAGAGACAGTGAACTGCGGCCTTATAACAGTGTAATTGCAACAATTAATTTGACAAGAACTTTGTGCTTTTAGTATATTCAGGATTTATGGAAAGTTTTTGGCAAAACTTGACATGTGAGGGCTTCGAGGGGGTGTGAATTTTCCGGCCCTTTATCATGCAACATTTATCTCGACTTCCAATATCATTGCAACAAATCTTTAGCAACATGTGAAGGCGCGGCCGGGGATGCATGCGTACTCTTGATTATCATGGTTTGAGGGATTGAAAATCATCATATAGCCTAGCAAGTCCATTTGTGCTCTTAAATAATAGATTTGGAGTCTTGAAAAGGATCCGAATCTGTCAAATTTTCAAGAGTTGAAATAGATAGTCCACACAGTTCAACAATTTCTATGACTCCAAATCCTTTTTTTTGTTCTTTTGTTTTTTTTGGGATCGATGATCGCGAGACGCAAATGATGAATCACTCGAGTTTTGGGTTTTAAATCCATGTTCGCCACTTATTGTTTGAGGGAGTCGCAGGTAACCCAACTGCTAGATATGCTTCTCATTTAATTTTGATCATGTTGCATATAAAGAACAAACTCAAAGCAGCGGCAGTTAAGGTGGAAAGTGCAACAGCGTGATATCTGGAGTTTCAAGCTTTGGGGAATTAAGTCGATATCACCTTTACACATGGGTACAGAGAAGCAATTGCAGTTGTTGGGGTTTTCATGTCTAAGCTTCTGGTGTCTGAAGGACTCCCTTAAATTTTAAGTTTGTTTAGTATGTTCCTTCCATAGGTGACGTTTGTATAAGGTGTCAACCTTATACTATTGAAGTAAGGTGCACCACAAAACTATACCTAAAATGTACTTTTGATGCCACTAAGCCTTATGATGATATGAAAATATATTGTTGCCCCTAGTTATGAAATTAAAAGTTTTAGGAATGGTGACAATCAAGCAGATTGATAAACACATGAAATCTTGAAAATGAACTGTCTAGATAATGTGTTAGAAGATGAACTATTTTTAAAACTAAAAGTCCCTTTTTTTTATGTCTATGAATCTTGTTCCAGCCTAGAAAAAACCCTTTTAGTAGGATTTTGATGTGCACCTTACTTTACAGTTTACGTTGAAGGTGTAAACTTTTTTACTTCTTGTATTTATGATGTTTTGAGTAGTCAAACATCTAACCTTCTCAAAAGAAAAAAAGTTACAATATCTCAAAAAATCCAATATATATATATAGGACATTTATTATAGTTGGCAAAAATAAGTGCCTATCATAAAAGATTGGGGCATTTTGGTCTTTTGTCTTTGAAGATATGTGCGAAATTTTGCGGCGGCACATGGCACTTTGGATCTCTCTCTTTATGCACAGATTCACAGTAATGGAGTTGGGGCGAGTGTCCACCTCTTTTGGCCCTTGTCGCCATTACCTACTACATCATTTCTCTTTCCAAACCCTAATTTTCTTTAAAATTATGCCCTCAAAAGATGAGAAACCTGATCTCTCTCCCAAAAATCTTCTTTTTTTTATAGAGGAATTAATAATTTGGAGATTCGTAATCAAGGATTTCGTGTCTAAGATATATCAAAGTCATTTCATGCAAGTGGGGCTGTCTTTCTGATGATGCTCTCTATGACGTAGGAAGCATTTTGGATGATTCCCTTATGTATCAAAGAATGAGATGGTCCAAATGTGTCGATTCAGAAGTTCATGTTGAAAAATAACAAGGTAGATCCAAAAGAACATGATTGGAAGCAGTGGATATGAAGACTTATAACCCTATTAAAAGTATGATCATTGATAGAGTAAAATGGCAGACCAAGATTCATATAATCAATCTAAATAGTTTGTAAAAAGCTATGATGATGATGATTTATGATTTTCTATTTCAAAAAGTAGCATAGAATTGATGATCTGTAAAAAAAAAAAAAAACTAAAATGAATTTGTTCTTGATCAGCTAGTTGTTGGCGTGATTTTATTAGTTGTTGACGGTTGCAATAACAAACAAAATTGAACTGCCATGCATCTTTGTGACATAAAAATGTATCTTTACGTACCCAAGACTAAACTTTAGGCGAAAACTACTACTCAAAACAACCCTAGTCATACTAGACACGTTTGTTTCACGGGCAAGAACTTTCTTGGAGCTCTTTTCGCTTGAGTACCGCTTTCCCATGTTTGTTTCATGGGGAAGACCTCTCTTGGGGTTCTTTCCGCTGGAGTATCGTTTTCCCATGTTTTTTTTCGTGGGAAGCTCAAGCTCCATTCTTAGTCGACAATGTATTTTTAAAAAGGAAAAAGTTTATATAAGGATGCAACTTTATAATGTAGAACTACGGATGTACCTCAAAAATCCATCGGAAAGATAGTTTTAATGTTGAAAAGCCCTTTGATTAATCATCTCGACATCGAGATGTATGACCATGAAAAATAAAAAGATTTTAAGTTTCAGAAATAATGCATTTTACAACATATTATCTACACCGTCCATTTTCAAGATTTTCACATGTTTATAGATCTAGTTGATTTTAATGATTTTTTAAATTTAAAATTTTATAATTAAATATAAAAATAGATTTTGAGATAATCCTAAGAACATTTTACATCAAAATTATATACCATTATAAAATTTGAAAGTGCACCTTACCTCTACAGCTACGGATGCAACCGTATGCCAACTGCACCCTTTTAAAAAAAAAGCCAATTTACACTTTATTTTGGTACGAAAGCACTTTCTCCCGCTACGAAAAAGTTCTCTTCAAAAACAAATTATTATTGGGCCTTCAAAAAAAGAGCTTTCCAACTAAACAAACATTCCCTTATTATTATTGATATTTTTTTAAAAAAACATTAACAAATATTCCCTCATTAGCACAAACATGAGTGCATTGATTTATTTTTTCTCTTTTATTTCTCCAATTGTCTCTCTATAATGGGCATAAATGTATACACGTGTACACACGTCTCTTTTCACATAATTGAAGTTGATAAACCCTTGGATGAATGACGGAGATAGGAGTGCTTTTTATGGGATTCCTTGCGTGGTGCTAGGCAACAATGATAATTCGACAAAAAGAAGGTCACATAAGTGTGAGGCAAGACCATGCCCACTAAAGATGTTTCCCATTAAAAAGCAACAAAATCGAAGAAATCTCATGTTTGGTGAACCGTGAAAGTACTTTCCCTTTTTTACTCATGCGCTTCGGGATTCTAGTTATCCAGCTTGTGTTGGATTGGGTGGTCCAACCGGTCAAACTCTCACGTTGGATGTATTGATCTAAAGCAAAAATCAAATTTACTAAAAACCAGGTCCAAAACGATTTTTTATTAGTTTTGGTAAGTTAAACAAACTGGTTTTAATTAATTGGAGTAGCTAATAAAGTTGAAAAGCTTTTTTTTAATATGTTTTATATATTTTATTTTTATTTTTATTTAGTTTTTATTTTTTTAAAATGTAGTCCATCCAATTTGATTAATAAATAGATATATTTTGACTAAACCAAATCCCTCAACAATTACGCTATTCGATCTTTAATAACATTGATTTTGCTATGCTCTATGTGCGGAAGAAAACAAATCAATGGGCCATAATCAACATTACATGCATGAAGGGACATGGTATTCGTCTTTGTTACACCATGTAGGAGCCAGTGACTTGACAGGGGTGGCAAGCGAGTTAAAAAACCGTAATGGTGAATTATTTTTGTCTTACACAATGCCAGTTCAAGTTGCTTCTTAGAGCTAATATCCATTTAACATCTCTTGGAAAATGGAGACATATCATGGATGGGATTCAACTTGCTTTATTG